CGTCCAATTTCACCCAACGAATCACTCTGAGCTTCCTGAGGACCACACTAAGCTTCCTATAAGCTTCAAATTCCCTGAAAATCAATATTTCACGTGTGCATGAACACTGACAAAATCGGAGGTTCATGGTTCGACGTGAAATTGAAGGATTCCTTACCTGAATTTGGTATGGTTGAACTCGTATGGTCCTCACGAACACAAAGGTACCATTTTCCACTTCGATCCGTCACGTTTGCAAGGGTTTTGAGTCTCGTCCGTACAAGTGAGAAGGAGAGAGAGAGAAAGTCTGCGATAGAGAGAGAGAGAGAGAGAGTATGGGAGAAGATGATGTGGGTGTAGGTGTGTGGTCCAAATGTAACAAACCAAAACCACAAAACAACCACCCAAAATGACAAATAACCACCAAGGGCAAAATCATCATTTCACACCTACGGTACGAATAATTCGGAACGGGCTGTCACAGTGAGTATTAAAATCCTAAATCAATTACTAATTTTTATTTAAAAAAATATGTAATAAACATGTAAATTCATTATCATATTAATTCTAGAGACTTCAATCAAAATTTGAAAACTAATAAGGTCTTAATCAATGAACATTAGTAACTAGGGACCAGATACTAATTTTTCCCTTGAAATAATATTGAAATTTTTAAATTTAGATTATTGGAAGAGGTAAGGGTGGGGTGTTTATGAAAATGATATGAGAAATGATGTCATTTAGGTATCTATAGGAAAAAAAAAATTAGAATTTTTTAATTTCGGCCTTAAAAAAAAAGGGGCCCATCAAACGGGCTACCTGGCTAGCTAAGAATGCCCACCCTGATGGCCAACGGGCTAAATCTTGGCCTCATGTGTCCCTTTTTTTTTTTTTGGCCCAGCCCTTCATTGGAGTTGAATTTTGGAGCATTTTGGCCTATAGCATTATAGCCATCTCCAATGGAGATAGCCATACCAAACTCGAAATTGGTCATTGATGCCATAAAAGGAGTTTGTTCTACTCTTTGGCATCTGAGGAACATTTTAGAAGATATCAAATGGTTGGCTTCGGCTTTCGATGAGATCACTTGGAACCATGTCTACAATGAAGAGAATTTTCTAGCGGATACTGTTACTAGTACGAGATTTATGTATCATAATTTTCATGTCTAAGACAGAACCTTATTGCCTCTAGCAAAAAACCTTTTAAAGCACCTCCAAAGGACTAGTCAAATTCAAAACATCAAATTTCAATTTGATGGCTGACTTGTCAATTTGACATATTGTCAAGATTTTCCTTCCACCCGACATGCCAAAATTTATAGCTTCATTTATTTTATTTTTTTAAACAAAATTAATAAAAGATGGATTGTTGTTGGTTTATGTGACATCCCACATCGCCCAGGGGAGTGATCCTTAAATGTATATTCCTATCTCTACCTAGCACGAGGCCTTTTGGGAGCTCACTGGCTTCGGATTCCATAGGAACTTCGAAGTTAAGCGAGAAGGGGGTTAGAGCAATCCCATGATGGGTGACCCATTAGGAAGTTGCTCGTGAATTCCCAAAAACAAAACCGTGAGGGAATGGTAAGCCCAAAGCGGACAATATCGTGCTAAGGTGGTGGAGCGGGCCCGGGAAGTGATCCGCCCCAGGCCGGGATGTGACAGTTTAAAAATAATAAAATAATACTTAAATATGCTAGCATTTAAGGTAAGACAAGTAGAATGTCTTTGAAAATAGAAAAAATCAAATTTGAAGGCAACTTCAAATTTAACATCTATTTGTCTATGTCAGCTTAGCTTTTTTTTCATGTCATCTTTGATTTTTTTGTTGGAGTAAATGATACTTTATTTGTTATTGTTATATATCTATATGACATTTTTGATATCTCATCCCCTTTGAAGATGATCTTAGGAGTAACTTTATCTGATGTTATTTCTTTTCTATAAAAGCAAACTGGAACTTTCAAAAATTTAAAAGAAAAGATAAAGCTTTCATCATAAATGCAATTCTCTCTCTCTCCTTTTTTTTTTTTTTTTTTCTTCCTATTTGAACGATCACCGTTAAACTATATTAACATTTTATATTAATTTTTTATAGAAAGAAAAAGATAAAATTAAGAATGTGAAAGAAAATGATGAAAAATGATAGAAAAAAGAGAGGAGAAAATCATAGTTCAAAAACAGATGTTGACTTTTCTCCGGAAATAGTGTGGCAGCTCACCATTTGATGCCCTATGTATAAATAAATATGGTTCATATTTTCAATAAAATTCAATGCTCTGTGCACTGTTCACACAATGTGTCGGTGTAGCGAAATTATAGTGTCCGGCGTCCAAACCACTAGAAACCTACGGCCTAGTGAGCATTTTTGTTCATCAACATCAATTATGATGTATATTCATTATATATCTATTCATCTGTCACGTATTTTTAACTTAATTTTAGTTTTTTTGTTTTTTTAAATTGAAATAGTGATATTTAACGTGAAAATTAACTAAGAAGGGTGTAATTAAACTCGGATTTGAGAGAATTTTAAAAGATTTTAAAATTCTAGAGTAGTCAACTAAAGGATTTTTAGAATCCATACAAATCTAAGTGTAGTCAATCAAGATTTTAATAGTTAGTTTAAAAATCTATCCAAATTTAAATGTATTAAAAAATTAAAGATTTTATAAAATTTTATTAAGTTGTAAATTTTGTAGTATTTGAGAGCAAAAAAAAAATATATAACCAATATCAAATAGAATAACTTTGGATTTCAAATCCAGGACCTGGATTTCTGACTCTCACTCTTCTCTGACTACCTACTAGCCACTTTCTTTGTTGGATGTCTGACTCTCTCTCTCTCTTCGTCTCACTACCAAATAGTCACTTTCTTTGTTTTATCTTCTTCTTTGACCTCCACAATTTTTTCATCATCTCTGCAATTTTTTTATTCAAGTTTGTGCAATTTTTTCTTCATGGAAGAGAGGGAGATTTTAAACGACCTTAATCTCCAACCAACCTCCATCTATCGTGTTGGGTTGATTTTGTAACTGTGTCTCCAGTTCTTCACCTTTTGGAGTGGTGTTGGTACGGCATATGGGCATATGCACTCTGGAATTACAACCATTCAAATCCAATCTGTATGATGCCAACAAATGCTTTGATGGATTTTTCAACCTCTTGCTTCTGTATTTTCATCACGTTTTTTTTTTATTTTTTTATTTTTATTTTTTATGGATTGTTTATGAACAATCCTACTTATATTGCTGGACTTTAACCGGTCAACTAGTCATATATGTTAGACTGGACTAATATGAGTTCTTGCAATTCAATCGAGTAATGAAATTGATTAATGTATACAAAGTAATTGATACTTCTAGTAGACAGATTAGAAAACGTGAAATGCAGCTCCAGAGCATAAACAGAATGCAGCTTCATTTTTTGGATTTATGACCTAGGTACATTTATCATCATTTGATTTATTTGACAGTCAACATTTAACGCTCCAAAGTCTATTAAAATATATAGAAATCTATTATATGAATCTTCTCAAATTTTCTAAAATTCATATAGATTTGTAGAAGTCTATATAATCCTATGAAATCCATCACTTATCAAAATCTATTAAAATTCTCTCAAATCCTAAGTTGACTATACCTCCTAAAATTAAGTAAAATGATATGTGATAGATGCTTAGGTGTATAATAAGCATACATTATAATTAAGGAATTGTTATTAGCACTCTAAAAGTCTTATTCTGCATTTCAAACTTTCTATATTATGAAAGAAAAATACACTCATGAAAAATGTAGAATGAGATTTTTGAAATGTCAATATCACTGCCTTACTTTTTGAACCCTTCCCATTTTCTTTTATGGTCTGATGTCTGGTCAAAAGACCTTCATGTCCGTATGGTTAACAAGGTGTAATGAGGATTCTTTCCGGATTATGAGGATCTCGGATATTCTTAAATTGTGTTCGTTTATTGTATATCGTGTGATTAAAAATTATTTTAAATATTTTAATTTAAAATTAAATATGAATAGTATTTAAAGAAAACTGACTACATAATGTACGATCAATAGACATAATTTAAGAATCCTCCTCACAAAGAGAATCCTCATTCCACAAATTGTTAGAATAAAACTGTGTGCGCTATTTAAAGGTCAAAATTTCGTGAACTCTGTGCGCTATTCAGATCTTGTAAATTGTTAGAATAAAGGTCACATTTTCGTGAACTGTGCTATTCAGATCTTGTAAATTGTTAGAATAAAGGTCGAAATTTCGTGAACGGTGCTATTCAGATCTTGTTCCGTGGTGCGTAATAGAGTGCGGCACCCGGTCTCCACCTTTGTGTCTAAAAATAAAAAGAATTTTAACAAAACACTTTCGTTATTGTTTATTTTTAATAAAAATAATATTTTTACTCTAAAATGTCATTTTTGGTATTATTTACTTACAATATATTTTTGCTTTTTTTATTAAAACTCAAAGTTTTCAAGACATTTTCATTAGTTTTCGTAAAAAATAAAAGGTAATGTTGGAAATGAATTTTAGATTCGTATTTCATATAACACAGGAAGGGTGGATTACCATGGTGAAGTCACCAGCTGGTTCATTTTTTGAAAAAATATAACAAGGAATACTAAATTTGTAGATTTCATTTTGTAAATTAAATGACATGTAAGTTAATGATTGAATTATTACTTAAGTGTCGATTACCGTGCTTATTTTTTCTTGATAACATATTATTTAGATTATAAATTTAGTCTACTTAACATTACTCAAAAGTCCTCATATGTGGCATTTTTTGGAACTATAATAGTTTAAATACAAACACTATCTAACAAAAATTAACGGCATAATATACGATTAATTCACATTATTTACTGATCTTCATAACCCTCACTCAAAGAATCCGGAGATGATCCTGTTGGTAACCTCGTGACAGTTTATGCATATATAGATAGATCCGTCATCACAGAGAAGTCACAAAAGATAAAGCCGCTCCTGCTCCTCCTAGGTTACAGAACAATGGCCAAAATTCCAGTGGTAGATTTCTCGAAAGATGACTGCTTGAAGCCGGGGACAAGTTCTTGGCTCTCGGCACGCAACGACGTCTGCCGTGCACTGGAAGATATCGGCTGTTTCACGGCAATTCTTCCCAACAAAGTTCCAAAGGAACTTGCCAACACCTTATTCTCCACATTTGACGACTTGTTTGATTTTCCAACCAGTACTCCTGAAAAGCCCTTCTTCTATGCAACTTCTAATTCCGGGCAACGAACCTACGGGATCATCAACGGCACAAACCCTCAAGATGTTCAACAATTCACACATCTCATTTGGCCCGATGGAAACGATCAATTTCGGTATGATCGATCACTGCTGCATTTCTCAAACATATAGATCTCAATATATAAATATATATATATATATTGATCATACACACACTACAAGAAAAATGAGCTTTGGGTACAAAATAAAGGGCACAATTGAGAATTTTGTGTCAGTTTGACCACCAAAAAGCTTAAATAATTCTCATTCCATAGAGGGCACCATCTATTGTGCCCAATGTTAAAAAAAGTAGACACAAAACAGTAATGGGCACGGAAATCGTGTCGAGTGGGATCACAGGACAACTTTTTTACTGAAAATGGGCACAAAAAATATTTTGTGTCTATAAAAATTATTTGTCAAAGGCACTATATGTTCTCTCTCGTTTGTCTTTACCTCCACTAGCACACCAATAATTAAAATTTATAAAATTGTGGTAAATAATGGTATGAAGCTGTTTATTACCGTGCAATATTTTAGCCTCAAAATAAGTTAGCAATAATGTTGTTCAAATTTGTTTTTCCCGAAAGCTGAACCTCAGATTTCTCACTTACAAGTAAAGAAGAATACCACTACACCATAGTACTAAGTGGCATATTTTAGATTTGCAAAAGATCATTTCCAGGTGCAATGAATGTTTGTTAGATTCGTATCTTTTTGAATTGCTTTTTGGATTGTTATCTTCTTGCAGGTTTGTTTTTTATACTTGGTGATATGGTTTTTGGTTTTAAAGTCCTACTTGCAGTGACACATAACCAACAATTGTGCCCTTAGGGTTGGTCAAAAGTTAGTTGGTCTTCAGATGGACAAATGAGTGAATAATTGTAGATTCCTTTTTATGACACTAATGATAGAAATTGTGTCCACTAAATATTAATAAATAATAAATCACTCTACTTCTCATTGGGTCTTCAAATAGAGAATATATTTTAATAATTATAAATTCCTCTTTTCTGACACAAATGTTAGAAATTGTGTTCAGTAAATATTAATAAATAATAAATACTCTATAGCAAAAGAATATTTTGGCACAATTATGGATTTGTGCCTTTATTCTACTATAAAACGTCCACACTCCCTTACTAATTTGTATATGGAAATTAAGAAGGTTGCTTCATACACATATGTTTCTTTTGAATTTGAGCAAGTTCTACATCATTGACAATGGCGGACAGGCGACGTCGTGGAGTTAGAATTGGAACTGAATCTCCAGCATCACATTCGTATATTGCTTCCAACATTACAACAGAAAATTCCACAACGAATCCTCCAGTTCAACGTCCACGACAACCTGTTAATGCCGGGCGTATGCCTCGTCCTGTTAATAATCAGTACATTCTTACTACTTTTGCTGATGGTCGCCTTGGCTACGCATTACCCTTCAATAACGGATGCGTACGCGCACCTCAAGGACGTGTATTGCCAGCATGGGCAAACCCAGGTAGGACAGAACAATATCCTGTCAATTTGGTTTCTGCTGAAACAACAACTGAACAGTCTACCAGTTCTGTCGTTATTATTGAAGAACCACGCACTTATCAAGCACAAATTCGTCCTAGAGGTCTGTCTGTCCCACAGTTGAGCTCACGAAATATGCAGAATGTTACCGTTGAGATTTTAAGCAGCGATGACGAGGACAATTAATATATTTTGTATTATGTTATATTTCACTGGTGTACTATGAAAATATAACTATCTTATGCTATGCTGGACTCCTCTTGGGTCCTTTTATCAACTTATGTCGTATTCCAATATAATAATGTTTTCTTTCTAATTAGCCCTTCTAGATTTACTCCTACTATATATTTTTTTAGGTTATAATTATGTTTCTCGTCCGCTTCATACCGCAGAATTCAGTGACTTCACAGCGTGGCAACACAAAGGTTATGAGACATTACCAGTAAACTAAAAGATAGAAGAAATGAAAAAAGGAAATAAAAAAGGAAAAAAAAATGCTTGCTTTCATACTTCCCTAACACCCATTACCAGTAAACTAAAAGAAAAAAGAAACGAGAAACCAAAATAAAAAAGGGAAAGAAAAAAAAACTTGCTTTCATACTTCCCCAACGTAAGGCTTCATACTTCTGCTTCACCAAATCGCACACCTGGGCAAAGGAATCATAACTATAAACACAAAAATATCTTTATCCAAATCCTCGTTTTCCTCCAAATCGCACATCTGGTGTGCCTTTGTTCAGGTAATTTCTGAACGGCCGGTGCCGGAATCGCACTGAACTCCTCGTTTTCCTCCAAATCGCACATCTGGTGTGGTGTTCTTCAGGTTATTTCTGAACGGCCGGTGCCTAAATCGTACTCAAGTCCTCGTTTTCCTCCAATTTGCCCAGCTAGTGTGGCTTTCTTCAGGTATTTGATTTTTATATATGTTTTTTTTTTGTGTTCTTATTTGGTGTCGCTTGGATAATCGAAAACCATGCGAGACAGATTGAATCGTTTTCTGGTACTCAATTGTTTTTTGTGTTCTTAATTGTTTCTACGATTTGCTGGTACTTAATTGTTTGGTGGAATTTTCTGTGGGGTCTGATATATAATAGGAATAAAACAAGAAGTAATTGAAAAATATGGGAGAGAGATTGAACCGTTTTGTTTCTAAGATTTGGCTGGTACTCAATTTGTTTGGTGAAATTTTATTTATGGTCTTGAGGTAACGTCAGGGACAATGTTTAGGCCTTCGACCCTTCCCTTAGGCTGCTTATTGATTGGAAGTTCACAATAGAAACTGTTTTGAAGCTAACAGACTTGCATGTTAAGAGGGGTGTAATACATAAGTGTAAGTGATGAATGTCAGCTTATCATCCTTCCAATGTTGTGTAATGGAGCCAGCATGGAAAAAGTAAATTACTCACCAATATGTGCTCTTTTTTTTTACAGAACTGTGTAATTAGGAAATCTGAGATTGTAACAGAGAAACATGGAGTTTTTAGTTGCCTTTCCTACTAGATTTCTTTCGTAATTTATGTATACTCTGAATCAATTTGTTTGGTGCAATGAATACTTTGTAGTCTGATATATATATTATGAATAAAAGAACAAGTATAAGTCTTTGGCATCATATGTTTGTAGGATTTCAATAGCATGATCAATTAATTCCAAGCACTCCAGCTGTTCCTCTTTCTCTTCCTTTGCTGTAACCGACGAAAGCTTAGCACCAACTTATTCTCGGTCTTGGCCCTCTTCAGTTTACTCACTACTGTATGTCAATGGCTTCTTTCCTGGTCTTTGGGAGACAAAGGCATGACTAATATTTGTATTACCTGCACTGGAAAGAATAGGGTTGTCCTTCTCATTTTCTTATAAATAGTCACACGACTAATGGGAGGATAAGGGCAAAGCTCTTATGAATGCAATTCCTCTCTGTTTTATCATCTTGCATAAAATTCAAATGATAGAAATGCACTACATAATCCAGTTGCACATGTAACAACTCTCAATATGCCACCAAACAAATGATTTAATAATTAGAGCAAGAGATCAATGACAATCAAAACATTCTCCAAATTCACTTGACTAGCAATTATAGAATTTTAATACGATTTTTTCCATCTCATTAATCTAGCCACAAAACACAAAGAACATGCAATTCCTTTCATTTAAATCAAACATATCACAAGAAAACGTCGTTGTCGGGGTAAAATAGGTAGAATAATTTTTTGCTTATCATAGCAAACTTCAAATGGAGTTCATTCAAATGAAACAAAATTCTATTCAAAGTAGCCGTTAATGAATAAGGCACTTTAATGTAGACCACATCTGCTTTTAGTTGGTTTGTGATATTTGGGATATTAAGTTGGATCTTTATGAAAGTTTTGTTTCATTGTCTCAATTCACTAATCTTATTGTGTAATCAAATGTCTTATAATTTCATACATGCTTGTAGGTAAAGATGAACAAAGAATGGGTGCATCTGAATAGGACGACCAATGAATACTTGATTGGCAGGCGTGCATTCATCAGTAATGCTTTAGATGTTGCTGCCTTTCAAGGAAAAATTAAGTGCCCCTGTCGGCGCTGTTGCAATATGTTTTATCATGATCCATTTGAAGTCGATCAACACCTCTACGTCGAGGGTATGGATCCCCATTACATAGATATACCTTGGGTTGAACATGGCGAACAGGTGTATACGTCTGATAATATATCAAGTCCAACTACTGAAGCTCATAATGAAAGAAGCCCTGAAAATTTCATGGCAGCGATGCTTCACGATGTTTTCGGTAACCACGTGCATATGGATGAGTCAGATCATGTTGGTGAATCTTCTTTTGCTTGTGACGAAACAATTGATGTGCACCAATTTGACAACATTCTACGAGAAGCAGACGGAGAATTATATCCAGGTAGTAGGAAGAAAAAGTTGGATTTTGTGGTCAAATTATATCAGTCAAAATTGTTATATGGAATGAGTGATGCTGCATTTGGTTCAGTGCTGGCACTAATAAGAGAGCATTTTCCTATGTGCGAGACTCTTCCTCCAAATTTGTACTATACAAAGAAGATTATCCGGGCTTTGGGGTTGGATTACCAGAACATAGATGCGTGTCGAAATAATTGCATGCTATTCTGGAAAGAGCATGTAAATGACATCGTTTGTGCAAAGTGTGGCGCTAGTAGATATAAGCAAAGGAAGGCAAATTCAGGAACGCTCGAATGTACTAAGGTACCGAAAAAGGTTTTACGCTACTTTCCCATAGGTCCTAGACTACAAAGGTTGTACATGTCTCGTTACACAGCTGAGTCAATGATATGGCATTCAGAGATTAGAACTGACGATGGTGTTTTGAGGCACCCTGCCGATTCTCCGGCTTGGAAGCATTTGGATAATACATATCCAGATTTTGCAAGGGAGTGTCGCAATGTCCGTCTTGGGCTTGCAAGCGACGGATTCAATCCGTTTGGAATGCATGGCAAACCTCACAGCACATGGCCTGTTTTAGTTGTAGTTTATAATCTTCCACCTTGGATGTGCATGAAACAACCTTATATCATGATGTCTCTTCTAATTCCAGGGAAAAAAAGTCCTGGTGATGCAATTGATGTTTTCCTGCAGCCGCTCATTGATGACTTGCGGCATTTGTGGACGACAGGTTTGCAAACATATGATACTCACCGTCAAGAAACTTTCACCATGCGTGCTGCCTTGTTGTGGACTATCAATGACTTTCCTGCTTATGCCATGCTCTCAGGGTGGAGCACTAGTGGTGAGAAAGCTTGTCCGACTTGCGGTGATGACACTAATTCTTTATGGCTTAAGCATGGGAAAAAGTTTGCATTCATGGGACATAGGCGATGGCTCCCGATGTCACACAGGTACCGAAGACATAAAAAAACTTTTAATGGATCTCAAGAATTTCGAAACCCCCCTAAACCAAGAACTGCCATGGATTGTTTATTGGAAGTGACGGGATTGACCTTCAGATTTGGCAAGGGTGCAAAGGCAAGTGGTCGTAAGCGGGGGTGGAATGATGATGGACACGTTGTCGGTCAGTGGACAAAAAAGACTATATTCTTTGATTTGCCTTACTGGAAGGATCTTCTACTGCGGCATAACTTGGATGTCATGCATATAGAGAGAAATGTAGCTGAAAATGTTATTGGCACTCTTTTGGAAATTGAAGGGAAGAATAAAGATGGTATTAGGGCAAGGGCTGATCTCGTAGAGTTGGGCATTAGGCATGATCTCCATCCACGGGCAGATGGTGCCCGTACAAAGCTGCCAGCGGCAGAATACAATATGAAACCTGAGGAGAAAAGAATGTTGTGCCAGGTTTTGGAATCAATTCGGGTGCCAGACAACTACTCTTCTAATATTAGCAACTATGTTAATATTCAAGAAAAGAAGTTAATTGGCTTGAAAAGCCACGATTATCATATGCTCCTACAGGTATTCCTCCCTATTGCAATACGAAAAGTGTTACCGAAATCGGTTGTTACAGTGTTGTTAGAGTTGAGCAGATTTTTTCGCCACATTTGTTCAAAAACTGGAACTGAAGAATTATTCAATGGCTTGTCAAAAAACATTGCCTTAACTCTATGCCATCTGGAGAAGTTATTTCCGCCATCATTCTTTACCATTATGGTACACTTGATAATTCACCTTGCGGATGAAGCTGCTGTTGCTGGTCCAGTCCCATACCGATGGATGTACCCCATTGAAAGGTGTCAGTTTCGTAAAACAGCTACTCAGTTTAGTTTCTAAATTTAGTATTTGTTTTTCATCATTACCTTTTGCTTAAAGATTTTTTTTTTAACAATCAGGTATCTACATCTTCTAAAATCGTATGTGCGCAACAAGAGTCAGCCAGAAGGATGTATTGCAGTGGCTGTTAATTTAGATGAGTGTGTATCATTCTGCTCCATGTACATGGATGACTCTATTGTTACCCGTCGCAATAGGCATGGACGTAACTATGATGTTCAGCAATGTGATGCACGACAAGGGCTTCCTTTATTTAGTAGCCAAGGCAAACCAGCAAGCGCTGTTGACACTGTTTTGCTAGAACGTCCGAGGTTTGAAATGGCTCATCGGTATGTCCTAGTAAATTGTCCTCAAATGGCAGAATACTTAAGGTACAGTTATAACAATGACATTACCTTAGTATATGTTTGATGGACTAGCTTGGATCCTGAATTGATTTATGTGTTGGTCTTGTAGGAGACATATGTCACATGTAATTTCTACTCGTGGCAGAAGAACTACTATATATGATGCAGAAAGAGAAGCTTTAGATAGTTTCCCTCAATGGTGTCGGGATAATGTACCTTATATATATTCCTATTAAGTTTCAGTATTAAATGTAGCATTCATAATGGTGTAATTTTGTAACTGTGTTTTAATTCAATGTAGGTACATATCATAGGGGCAAATGATGAGGGAGTTATTAAAGACGATATATGTGCATTGGCTGCTGGACCGATGCAGTGGGTAAATCGTTATACCGCATACATCATGAATGGAAATCGATTTAAGGTTGCTTCTGCTGATCGACATGCACAAACCCAAAACAGTGGTGTTTTTTTAGCATCTGAAGTTAGTAGTTTTGCTACTACGGTTGACAGGAATCCAAGGTATGGAGATGTGGATTATTATGGTGTTGTGACAGATATCATTGAGTTAGATTATCACAATGGTCGGAAGGTTATACTGTTTGATTGTGATTGGTTTGATGTCAAGAGCAAAAGGTTTCGTACTAAGAAGGATGAGTTTGGGTTCACTTTGGTTAATTGTGAACATCATTTACCATCGGATGACTCATTCATACTGGGGTCACAAGCAACGCAAGTGTTTTATGTTCAAGATCCTATTGACACTGAGTGGTTTGTTGCTACAAAGACAAAGCCACGAGACGTTTACAACATGCTCGATACAGATGTAGAAGACCCCAACACAGCTCAAGATATAGAAAACACATTAGGGGATGATGATATAGTGCAAACAAGGCTAGATGTTGCAGAAATTGTTATTGCAGAACGATTATCAGACTTGTAATGATCAAGAACTTATATCTACTATGTAGCTTGTTCATGTATGAAAGATTAAATAGTGCAGGGAAATAACATGAAGACCACGCACAAGTTTTTGGTAGAATTTTTTGGATGATCTTCATTCATCTCGGTGTATTGTATTTATATAGTTTTACAGAGGGTTTACAAGCTTTCACAATTTGCATAAGGACAAATTCTACAAATCAATATTTACATAAAATTAGGGAGCTTAATAAGGCAAATGAATATGATCACGAAATCATCTATTGCACAAATGATGCATGATGAGCATGATTGTCTCCATCTTGTCTATCAATGTATCCAATCATCTATTGGACATGAATTGGCTCATATTATGAGTTGGCAAGCTACTTTCGGTTGAGCATGATTGTCTCCATCTTGTCTATCAATGTATCCAATCATCTATTGGACATGAATTGACTCATATTATGAGTTGGCAAGCTACTTTCGGCTAAAGAAAGGGACAAAGAAAAAGGGGGACATCATTATGATGTCTAGCCCTTGATTTGTGGCTTTTACAAAGGCAAAGATTTGGCATGAGCCGAAAGAGATAAGAGGAGGGAGAGAAGGCGGTAAGGCATTTGGTTATGCCTTTGTGATGAGTAAAGAGAGCATCCAATGGGGGACATCATTATGATGTCTAGCCCTTGATTTGTGGCTTTTACAAAGGCAAAGTGTGATGAGCCGAAAGAGAGAAGAGGAGGGAGAGAAGGCGGGGCCTTTGTGATGAGTAAAGAGAGCATCCAACGGGGAGAGCATTCGGCTCTCCCATGGAAGGTTGAACATGGGTTGAGAGAAAACAAATGATACATATGCAATTAATCTCTAATATAGGTTGAGTGTTATAATATATATATATATATAAACAAAAACAAAAAAAAAAACCCTATGGTATAGGTAGATAAACACAATTAAGCTTCAATACAACTTCAAAAAAAAAAAAAATAACAATGGAAAGCAGAAAGAAACCCAAAAAATAAAAAATAAAAAAGAGGAAGAACCCAAAACACAAGATTGAGTAATGCAAAATAACACATCAAGATAAAGATATTGACAGGGAGAAACAAGATAAGAGAACTGAAACAAGAAAAGAGAAATGAACGGTTTGGGTAACGAGAAGAAAAACGGAGATTTAAATCCCTAATCCTATAATTCAGGATAAGATTAACATTAATCACAAATGAAAAAATAAACAGCAATTACTTAATTAATCAATTTAAGGGTAAATTTGGCAATCTAATACAAATAAGCTTATGTGGATAATTAATCACTGGACCTCATCCGAAAAATAAAACAAATTAAGTTGGACTATAACTAATAATGACTTATAAAATTGAACTTATATTAAGTTTCCCCTTCTCCAAATTGGATTCTCCCTCTATTTTTTAAAATTGGACTTCTCCCTCTATTATATTAAGTTCCCACCACCAAATTCAAAAACTTGGTTTGCCAAAATCTGATTTAAACCCACCGCATCCCAAAATTGTGCCCACTCACTTTTAAAATATTAATTAAAAAAATAGTAGCTATATTAAAGGGTTAGAAACTGGAAAGCTTCCATTCCACCATTTCTCATTCCGTCTCACCTTTACTCTCCCAAAATTAAAAGGACGCTCATTCCAGCTCCTCCGTCCAGTTCCAACCCATTCATCCGTGGAGTCTATCCACCTCAAGCCTACTCCTCTGTCCAGTTCAAAGGCACTCCTCTGCCCTCTGGTGACACACACCGACACACAAGAGGGCCAAGATACATGTAAGGTTTCTGAATTTCAATTTTTCAATGGGTTTCTATTCTTTAAGGTTTAAGGTCAAGTAGGCTGTTTATTTTGTTGAATATGGTTTATGGTTTGAGGACAGTGGGTTTCAGAGGACAGTGGGTTTGGGATTAAGAATCTAGGATGGGTGCAGATTTTTGGGATTGCAGGTCTCATTGAAATTATGAGGGATTTCCCTACCAGTACCATCCCAGTTGTCTTTCAGATAAGTATCCCTCATAGGGAACATATAGAATAGAGTGTGCGAGTACATCCATCATCCCTGGATCGATCATACTCCTATTACTACGTGGCCCTGTTTTTGTTTTTGTTTTTTTTTTTAATTTTCACCATCCATAACGTCGGCAAGTTAAATAACTAATTACTAAGGGATAGAGAAATCGATAGGGTCAAACCTCCACCATGGTGCATAAGCATGATTGCTTTACACCACTACAATAAAACTGGATCTGCTCTACGTGACTATTAAGTGTTCAGATTCCACGGTACTCATATGCATGCCTCTTTTGGTATTTGATGTTGTGGTTCATTAAATGAATGCACAATATAAACTATAACTCTTCTAAGACACTACACATTGTGATCCAGCCGTCAATCTTAGGTCTTTCTTTGATGATCACCTTGACAAAGATCACTCAACTCAAAAGTCACATGATGGTTACAGTACATGGTGGCATCATATAGTGTGTTCATCTTTTTTCTTCTATCAATAATTGTATGTCTTAATGAAAAGATTTTCACTTTTATTTAAGGATATTTTATGCATGATGATAAAATGTAGATAATTTGAATCATTATAGAACTTGTTAATGTTACCTGTATGTTCATTGGTGTAAAAAAATAGTTCTTGTTGGTGTAAATGAATAGTTCGTGTTGATTACACTTCATTTGCAATTTGCAATGTAGATGGCTAATATGATGCTTGATGATGATGCATTTTTGGCATCTATGGGAACTCAACCACACTTCCAATTTGGTGTAGTCACCGAAAATGAATCATTTGCAACCAACCAACCCCATGAGACATGTAGTCGACATACGCAATCAAGTGGCTCTACTTCTTTGTCACCCACAACTCGAAAGAGGAATAGGGGAGTTAACAAAATACGGTGGGGCAGAGGGAGGTGCGAAAAACTGAACTTTAACAGATTTGGTCAACCTATTTCTCCTCGTGACAATGTGGCCAAATTTGGGCGCTACATAGCCATGTTGGCTCGTGATGGTGGAATAATCCCAATTGATTCACCTGATTGGCGCCAAATAGAATCTTCGAAACTTGATCGAGTGTGGTCATTGGTCCAGGTATTGATGCTAATTTCTAAAATTTGACTTGTTGGATGCTTACAATCTTATGTCACAACTTCATTATTGTTTATGTAGGCCACTATAGACTGGACAAATCCAAAAGCTGCTGGCAAGGAGGACAAAGTAAGGGCTATTGTGGAAACGAAATTGCATGATCGTTTCAGGACATGGAGGGCAAAACTCCGTAAGTTGTATTATGTTCCCTTTGAGAACTCCGAGCAGAGGAAGCATTGCAATGATTCTAGGGTAATCCAGAGACAATGGCAATCCTTGGTAGCTTATTGGGATAAAATTGAAAATAAGGTTTGTAAAACTTTCAACACTATAGTTACTATACTTCATTAAACTGTTGTTGAAACGAAATATAAGGTTCGATAAAATGAGTATTTTCCTTTGTGGTGTTCTTTATTTGTTGTGATCCAGCGGAGATGTGCAACGAATGTCAAGAATCGAAAGATGTTAAAGACGAGTCACACAACTGGGACAACAACTTTTGCTCAAATACGGAATGATTATGTGAGTGGATTCTTGTACTATATATTATAATTTTAGTTCAAATGTCTCAAAAACTACATCTCACATTTAATTTTAGTTCAAATCAGTATACATTTGACATAAACTAAAGTATTTTTTTTCTTCCAATTTTTCAGGAACAGCGGTTTATTACCCTTATTGATGTTTGTGTTTATATATAGTGCACTATAGTTTTTGTCATTGTAACTGTGATTGTTTAATGATTGTGGTTGTTTTTGGGATTTTTTTTGTGTCTTAGGCTGAAGAACATGATGGAAATGAACCTGATCGTGTGACTTTTTTCAAAATGACACACACAAGAGGACCTAAGCAACTCCCAGTTGATGATGAATCTGCTAGAATGATGGTAATTTGTACATTTTCACTTCACCAAATTTATTTCCAGCAACCTTTAATGAAATTTTATGCATTTACGAATGATTAAGGCTTTTTCAAACAGTTAGCGTTTGAAAATCTGGAAGTGGAGGTTCGTGAACGTGGTGATGAGGTAACAACAGAGGTTCGTAATAAGATTTATGCAGAAGTGCTGGGCCCAGAGAAGCGAAATCAAGTGCGAGGCTTTGGCCTTGGAGTTGGTTGGGCAGATGTACCAGGAATTGTTACTGAACAGCGAGGTATTTCTAGGGAAGTGAAGTATCTTCGGGAAGCTTATGAAGCTCAGAAAGAAGCCACTGCTGCTGCGGAAGAAAAAATGACTCGTATGATGCATGAGGCAAATGAGAAAGCGGAAAAGATGAAAAGAGAGCAAGAAGAAAGCATACAAAGGCTTAGGGCCGAACAAGAGGAGAATTTGAGGTTAGCAAAGGTGCAAATGGCTGAGCAATTGAAAGCCATGTTGGCACATGTAGGCATCAACATTGGTTCATTTGGAGTGAGTGCTCTACAAAGTACTTCAACTCAGCAGCAAGGGTGTGGAAGCTCACATGCTCAGATTTCAACGGGTTTCGAAGGTGGAAATGACAAGAATGTGCAGTGTGGACCTCCAATTTCTAGTGCTATGATGCATGAGGACTGCCAAAGTCAGAATACTGGTTAGTTGTCATCAAGCAGCCCTTGTAGATGTGTATTTTGTTTATATATTGCTGGTTTAACCATTAGTACGTTTGACTTGGGGATACAAGCTTGGATATGTTATATTTTGTTGTATATAGAGAATCCCGGGCATGTCTAGCATAGGATAACATGTATTTTTTGGTTTAACATTTGGATGGGTTGTATTGTTAGGTTGCATGAATCGGTCTTAACCGAGAACATAGGTTATGTAATATATTAACTTAACTATTTTAGTGCTAATGTTGATTTATGTTTAGTTTGTAATGGATGATTTGTAACTTTCTAAATTTAGGTGGAAATTAGATTCTATGAGCAACCTGATGATTGCCATGTTTAAATAAAAATATCCAATTATGCCACAAATTTTTTTTTTTTTTTTTTTTATTGAAACCCGCCACAAATTTTTAATTGTGCTGGAGTTTTATTGTATTTATTAAAATATAATAGTGGCACAATTTTTAAGTTGTGCCCTTGCTTTAACAATCTAAGCCTTTAAAAATAGCAATTGTGCCCATCTTACACCATACATTCAGTAGCCTTTATTAGAGGTAAGACACAATAAGGGTTGTATTTGTGCTTAGCTTTGGGCACAAAACATCATATTGTGTGTTATAAGTAATGGTGACGCCCATAGAGGGCACAGATACAAACTTAGTTGCTGCACTGTTGCTATTGGTCTATGAGCACAAATGTTGGTGCTTTTTGGCCTCAAAAGGCACATATAATTTTTGGTGTGCAGTGCTCATTTTTTTTGTAGTGACATCAATTTATACTAATAATATGTTCTTTGTTGGCCAGTGAGAGTGCTGACTTCTATGCAAAAGTGCTGGCGGAATTAGATCAAACTGTGACAAGAATGGTGTTTGAAAACTATGGTGTAGAGAAGTACCACGACGATCACGTTCGATCGATGTTTTACAATTTGAAAATGATTAGATACGAGAAACCCGAGAAACTTGATAGTGATGTAGGTTTAAAGATTCATACGGACAAGAACTTCTCCACCATAATCCATCAAAACCATATCAACGGTCTAGAGATAAATACAAAGGATGATGAGTGGGTGCTTTTTGATCCTCCATCTTCATCCGTAATATTCATAGCAGCTGACGGATTTCAGGTATGTCACATATTATTTACCCCTTGAGCACAAGTAATTTGATAACCATTTCATTTTCACCTTTTTTATTAATTATTTGAGTTTTCAAAATTTGGCTTTCCATTTTTATTTTTTGACAAATATTTTAGCAACCAATTACGAGTTGTCTACGATGCAAGTAATTATTTTCCAACAAGGACATTTGTGTTCTTTTATTGGCTTAGGTTTGGAGCAATGACAGAATTCGACCTTGTAGACATAGGGTGACCTTGACTGAAAATGTCGTAAGATACACATTTGGTGCTTTCTCTGTCAAAAGAGGGGTGATACACGTACCAAATGAGCTCGTGGATGAAGACCACCCGTTACTGTATAAGCCTTTGAATCATGTTGAGTTCCTCATGGCACAGAGACATACTGGTGAAACTGAGTATGCCGCAAAGGCATATTGTGCCATTTGACATTTTCTTTGGTCCAACACTCTAAGTCAATCCCGTTATATGGTTTTCTCTTTCTATTTTCTTCCATGTATTTTATTCTACTTTTATTTTTCCAAAACAGTACTAAGTTTATAGGTAAATGTTGAAATAACAAGGAGATATTCTTGTGTGCGGATTCTCCTATGAGACAGAGAACTCAAGGTGAAGGAGGGAAGACAGGGCACAAGGGGTCAAGGGGTCCACCTACTAGATGACCGTCAATGGGACTTTCCCAGTGGCGGAGCCAACGTTGGGGTCACTGTTGCCCATGACCCCAACAGCTTCAAAATTCCTATGTACATTTGAATCTGTATTTGTATTTCACCCCTACAAATAGTTATCGCAAACTAAGTCATAACAACCTCCTTCTATTAATTATGTTTTCTTTTGTCATCCATATTTTTCTTTTCTCTCTTCTTGTGTGCTACTTTATTGTGCAAACCAATTGCTCGACAAATGTCTCAGTTGACAACTTTAGTAGTCTTTAACCTTACTCGATAGTTTCCTACAGCTGCCCTCGATAAGCCTCTAGTAATCATAGTAGTTGTTGATATATGTAGTGTAAGCATTTGGCAAATGTCGGCAGGAATCGACAAGTGCGCACTAGGTGCTCGATGAATTGGTCCATTGAAGTTTTTTTGTCGAAATTATGATCTCATTATTTGAAAATTCGGGCTCCGCCACTGGACCCTCCAATAAAGTCTTTTGATATTGGCTCTGTATCAATGGATTCTCATTTGCCATACATAACTAAGAAGTAAGGCCGTGGCTCCAAAGGGCACATGTCCGTCAATCAAATAGCCAAAGGTCATAAATGATCAAATAATGGCCTTGCGCTTGATACAACCTGAACGAAGGGTAGCCACTTTAAGAGCAACTCCACCGTTGCTTATTGCCTTGGGGATAGGGAATCCAATCCACTCCATCCCCCTCCCCAAAACACTCCAACTCACTCGGGCAATTGTGCTCAAGGCAAGCCCAATGGAGAAGTCAGGCAATAAGAGTACTTCCAGTGTGTAAAGGCTCCCCTTTGCAATAGGCAATTCAATCTCCTTAAGTAAATAGTAATTGCCTTTAATAAACAGTAATTGCTTCTTACATCTCCACCTATACTGAATAACCCAGACAATTTGTATTAAAATATTAATATTTTTTATTTTATAAAACAATAAAAAATAATTTTATTTTTAATTTCGGATATGATCTTTAACCGATCACGTCACGCCACATGTTACTATCCGAAAGTACGATTTTTGTGGTTTCGGATATGATCTTTAACTAATCACGTCACGCCACATGTCACTATCCGAAAGTACGATTTTTGTGGATAGATTTCGATAAGATTTTTAACCAATTCCGTCACACCTCATGTCTATACCTATTTAGAATCGTTTGAAAATATTGAAACGTGGTGTAAGATGGGAGAAAATGGTAAGGTACTTTTTTCGGAATTTTAATTATTTTTTAAATTTTTATTAACTTAATTAATCTAGATTGTCGGATTACAAAAAATGTAATCCAACAGTCTAAATTGTGACACGTAGCCCAACTTAACATTTTTTTTAAAAGCCGAAATATGTGGACCTTTGATATGGAAATCAAACGGTCCAGATTATGCAACGTCATCTAGCCGTCTAGGGAGGTTTGAAATTTTTTTTTACCATTGGAAATCCAACGACCTGGAAGCAACCACGTTGCTCAAGCAACGGTAATTGGGTAAGGCTGACACACGAGTCCCACTGCCTAAAAATATGTCGGAGTCGCGCCACCACGCGCCTGACGTAAATTTTTTAATAACATGTCTGATATTAGCCTTGTATCACATCTCTTCAAGCACTCGGCCCTTGGACTTTTACCTAACTTCTCCCACAGGCTCCCCCTCAGCCCAGGGAGGGGAGGAATGAATTTGTTGCCAATCCACAGGGCAATTGCCCACAGTGGAAGTGCTCTAATCACCTGGTCCAGCACCTTATCTATGTGACTCAAGGTTGACATCATAATGATGTTAGCCACAATTTAAATTATGAAAAATGATAAAAAGTTATTTAAAAAATTATAAAAAAAAACTAATTAAAATATAAAAAATTATGATTTTTTTTATTTTTTATAAATATCGAACTATGTTCTTCCACTTTACACTACATTTCAATATTTTCAAATACTTTCAATCAATATTTTATTATTATTCAAAATAAAAAATAAAGTTATCTTTTATTATCTTATAAAATAAAAAATACTAATATTTAAATATAAATTGCCTGGACTATTCAGTTTAGAGGTGAATATGCACTTGGATAGTTACTGTTCACTTCAGGCATTTACTCTTCATTTAAAGAGATTGAGTTCCCTATTGCCCAAGGGAGCCTTACTAAGTGCTCTAATGGGCGAATAGCCTAAACCTTGGAATATCATAGGGCGACGAAAATTTTATTCTGAACTTAATTAATATATTTCAAATTTGCCTAAGCAATGTTTGGGCATATTTCAAGCAACCTAAGTCCTAGCTTGGATTGGAGGAATGTTGCTTAAGTCTTAGTATTAGATTAACCCACACAATTGTGCACCATCGAACTTAATAATTAAAGAGTATTGTTATGTCCATCCATCTGTCTTATTTTCTCATCCATTTTATAATTAAAGTATATGTGTGTGTGTATATAGATATAGATATATAGTGGTTGAGAAAATAAAACTGATGAATAAACATAATAACAATCTAATTGAATAGGCGTAAGAATATTAACAAATAAGACAATTGTCTAATTGGCCGTAGGAGGCTTATCCTTGTTTGCTCGGATTCTTCTGTTGCGTTCCAAACCACACAATATAGCAATCTCGCAAAATGCGCCTATAAACTTGTTCATGTCAAATTTGCAAGTGTATGATTTGGAACAATTCGAAACAAAAGTTTCAAAACTTATACTTTCAATTACAAAATTAAGAGTGTTTGGAAGGTAAAAATAGGCCATGTCATACTTTCGAGGGCCACTGAAAGTACTTGGTCAAAGAGAAAGAGCAATACCAGTGAGACCCCAAATTTGAACAAGACCAATTTTTAAACATCCAAATTAGTTTTAATAAAAATAAAAATAATAACTTGAATAGCAATCTGCATATAAAGAACCTTGCCACTTTCATAATCCTCATTGCGGAATGGCGTAAACTGCGTAAAAATGAGTAAAGTTTAACAATTTTAACCTTGAGAATTATGGCTATAACCCATAAACTTTTTTTCTTCAATAATTATGGTTTAAAATGATGATAAATAATACAATATTTCATCATCAAAACGCAAGTTCATACACATATGCACCACATAAAACATAAATATTATGAAATAACATGAAAAACACTTTCTACACATGAAATACATTTAAATTAGCTATTGAGTTTTTCATGTGTTACTTATGTGTATAAACTTATGTTTAAATTTTTATGCTTGAACCCACGACATTGCACATGGTTGAAAACCAAATTATTGAAAATGCTGGGAGAGCATAAAGTTTAAGTTTTAAGCCACCTATTGCATATGGTCTAAAAGTGGTGAGAAAAAATGAAAACCAAATAAAACAATGATAATGTTATAAATGTGGATGACCCCATCTAATGATTTTGAATTCATTCATAGACAACACCAAAACTTGAATGTGAAAACATCTGTGCACATAATAGTGACTTTTGGATCATCCATTTTCCTATAAAACCAAATCAAGCAAATGTTTCAAACATAGGAGAGAGAAATAGTAAGTCTCAACAACCAATATTCCATGCTTTGATATTTTACATGAGAGATCCAAAATTATTATATGGAACCATCCGCATTTACAACATAAAATTTAATATTTACCATTTGATTTGTTTATTGTTACCATAAATGTTAAGATATAGGAAGTCAAAAAATACTACTTAAATCTTACTTTAATGATAAAATAAAAAATACTATTAAAATATTTTTTTTGTCCATATAATTAAAACAAATTCATTAATTACTTTTGATTGAAAAAGTGTGCGAGACTCTTTCTATTATTTATATATGTATATTGACTGAAATTCTACACACACACTTTCAGATTAGTTGGAGACAACTTGATACAGAAATTAGGTAATCGTGGGTTTATCAGGAAATGAATAAAGCTACATGTTAAGGGCAAATTATCCTTCCAATTCAGAAAGTAACTGGTAAAGGAAATCAAAAGGCCTTTGCCACATAACCATTTCAGAGCTCGGAGGTGAGACTACAAAGGCAAATGTTATTCAATCAAATAAAACTTGAATAATGTTGTAAATGTAGTTGGCCATATCTAATATACGAGAAAAACTTGTATGAATATTAACTTGATTTAGAATAATGCTGGACGACATTACTAGTCATTCAAAACTTGCCACCTATTCAAATTTAAGCACGATTTAACACAACTGTGAGGAAAAAGAACTCCTGCACCCATCCTCTAAAGCACGGTTTCCAAAATCTTTTTGAAGTTTCACTTGCTGAACTCCAATTTTTGTTATCAGCCATTTTCATTTTGACTAAATCTTCTCTATATTTGTTTCGATTTTATTGGATGTCACCGAAGGGACATTTTGACTATAATTCGAAGTTTGCACTTAGTTTTTTTAGTTTGATCAGTCATTTTCAAATTTGTAATCTCCGTCAGATGAGCACAAGGTTTTACCAACGGTTCATGTCTAATTGACTTTAATTTGTAATCTCCGCTTTGGTTTTCTCTTTCTTTTTTCTTCCAAGTATTTTTATTCTGTTACTTTTTGTTTTACCAAATCAAAACTCTGTTTATGAGTAAATGTTGAAATATCAAGGACTCTACTATGAGACAGAGCACTCAAAGGGAATGGGGGAAGACGGGTACAAAGAGTCCACTACTGGATGTAAGCCGGGGTTTTTTGGTTCCTTTTTCTCAATACAAATCAATTAGATTTTTTTCATGTTTCTAAATTCTTGAGTTTGAAGCTTTTTTTAAGTGTAA